AGCGCTTGCAGTTTCTTTTTTTTTTCTTGCTTTGGATCAGTAAAGCAAAAGGCTTAGTGCTTGAACTTGGAACCTACTTCTCTTATTGTCTGTTTATTTCTCAATGATTCTGATCAAACTATGCCTAGTACTCGACTCGTCTTTTCAGACAATATTCCAAATTTCCTTTTTGTATCTCGGTGCATTTCCACTTGGATTTCTTTAACATGGTTAATTATTTACGTGCACAGGTAGAGCAGGTGGATTCTATGGTATGTGAGCTTGCAGATGTAGTGGCTAGCGAGCGTGCTTTACTTGATCAATGTAGAGATATCTTGTCATCAATGACGGCTCTACAGGTAACCCTGGATTTCCCTCTATACCTAAAAGCTTTTAAAGAAAACGATTAGAGTAATCATCATTTCTACATCATACTTCATATCAAAAGATCGTTGTAAACTGACAAAAGGTTGTAAAACAGGTGAAGGAATGTAGCCTGAAGACACATTTATTACAAATAAAAGACGCGGTTTGTTGCTCAACAACAGAAGTGTAAAGCTGATCTTGTTTTGACTGCTTAACGGAAATGCTAACATCAAAAGGGAGCTCTTCTTAACCAAACAAAGTGACGGTAATATGATTTGTGTAGCTAGAGTTACTTGATTCAGGCTTGTTGAATGCTGCTGCAATTGCATTTTGTATGCATCACGAGTAGGAAATTGCTGCTTTTATAATGTTTCATAGCAGCAGCTTATATCTTTGGTTTATAGCATCAGAAACATTTTACACATGTGTATATATATATATAAATATACGTCCATGTAATAAATGGAAATTCTTTGCACACGCGTGAGAGACTTGTCATTTTTATTGTTTTTATCTTAGGATAACTAATTCCGATTCTATTATTCCACCCTTTGGCAAGGATAACTTACCACGATTCTTACTAGTGATCTTAGTATAATTTATTCTGAAATTAGTAACCAAGCCAGGGATAAGATAGTACTAAGTTATTATTTTAGGACTATTTTAAAAAAATACTATGATGTTATGGTCTTGAGTGCAAACATAATTGATGATGTTTGCTAGAAATATTCAAGTGATTAGATCTATCTTTTTGCTAGTGTAAACACTTAAAATGTGTATGGTTTACTTTAAGTTATGGCATTATCTCATTAAAGTAAAGGCATTCAAGTTAAGAGGTAGAATCCACTTTTTATGGAATTGCTTAGAGATCTTAACGTACGATCTGAATTGTTTCTTTTTGGATGTTGGATCATAGCTTTTTAGAACTCTTGTTTGTTTTTGTCTATTCACTTTTACTAAACTATTCCTTCCGTTCACTTTTACTTGTCACTTATTTCTAAAATAGATTTTCATTTTTACTTGTCACTTTTCACATATCAAGAAAAGACAATTTTTTTTTTTTCATTTTCCAAGTCCTAATACTAAACATCATTTAGGGATAGTTTGAAATGATTTCAATTTATTCTTTTTTATACCTACTAGTCACTAGACCACAATTGGTCTAAACATTAATTTTTCGATTAAAAATGTCATTCTTTTTTTCCACTTTTTAAGATCCGATATCTTGATCTATAATTTAATTTGATTATTGTGTATCGGCCCCATATATACTTCTTGATCTCCTTTTTTCTTAATGTAAGAAAGTGACACAAGCTTAGCAAGTTTTTTTTTTTTTCAAAACTTGACGGTTAAGTTTTTTGCTATTTTCGTAAATATACCTTAGATGAGCCTAATAATTGTATACCTGAAAACATCTCATTAGACTAGTCACTATTTCTAAAACTAAATACTCCATTGTTTATCGAAAACTTTAAAAGAGAGAAAAGACTTAGATAAAATTATTTCAAGCACCAACAAAATCGGTATAACGAAAAAAAAATCTTCCTTCTGCCTATTGATCCCTAATTGTGTTGATATTAATTTGAGGGTTATATTTTGTCTCTTAAATACTCCCTATGTCCAAATTTATGTGATACTTTTCATTTTTCGAAAGTCAAGTAGTTTAAGTTTGACCGGCAAATTATGCATGGAATCCTCAAATTTTTTTAAATGAAATTTATATATTTATAAACTACGTAAAAAGTACTATAAGTCACAATAATTGACAATTCAAAATATTTAAAAGATGTATGAAAAATTTACGATCAAAGATAGACTTGTTTGAATCTTGAAATCTGAAAAGTGTCACGTAAATTGGGTTGAGGGAGTTTATAGTTTTATATAATGGGATGATATTTTGGGAAGAGAGGGAAAAAAAAAATATTCTGGAGTTAACCACATATGTTAACCATGGTTAGGTATTTTGTGGAGAATAGAAAAAGAAATAAATATTGGGTGGGATGCGGCGAGAGGCAAACGCTAAGCGAATCTGCTTTTGTCTCGAATACAAAAAAGTGATGTGGTTTTCCACTGATGAAGGTGGTAAACTAAAATGTGGGACCCTTGATGATGTGTTCCCCATCTCTTTTGAATAGACCTCTCTACCCCACCCCCTCCTCAAATCTTTTGTTTCGTCGGTGAATCAGAAATAGTCTCCCTACCTTATTAACATATAAAAATATAAGATTAACGTCATTTGGTGATATTTTATACCTTTTCAGACTCATTTCATGAAATTATACATAATATATTATTGTTATTTGTTGATTATTTGAGTATTACATAGTGTTTTTATTATTATTTTTCATCTGATGTTTGATACGCGTATTAAAGCTCGATTATTTTGGATTCGCATTATGCATGATCTCATTCATGAGGAACTGTTCCTTACTCAGATTTTTTTTTCATACATAGAGTTCGAACTCGAGATTTCTGGTTAAAAGATGAGCAACCTTATCCATTTCACCAAAGAATGGTGATAGTATTACATAGGTTGGTGCATTGTCACATACCCAAATGAACAAGAGAAAGATGGAAAAAAATTGCTTTTACCCTTAATTTGATTTATGTAGCTTAGTTTGACTGGTCGTGGGAATTCAGAAAGAAAGATTTTTTAAACATAAAATTATGTTCTTAATTAAATAATTATGTTATGATAATTTTTGTGTGCATATACAAACGTATTATTAAAGGTCAAATAAAAAGTTTGATATTATATTGTTACTAATATAGAAAGATAACATTAGTTTGGAATGAATTAATAAAGAAAATAGTGTCATATAAAGTAGAACAAGAGTATAAATTAAACTATTTTGTATATGCATTGATATATGATCACATGTTAACAATAAGTTCATTTTGTTTAATACATGAGACATAATTTGAATCAACCGAAATTTAAGAAGAAAAAAAACTTTCTGAAACGTGTGATCTAAAATACATTACAACATTTATGTCGCTATAAACTTTTGAAATATTTAACCTTAAACACGACATAACATTTTTTTAAAGGATGACATGAAAAATGTAAAATTAATTATTTTTAAATTTAAAAACGTGTCATTTTTTTCCGAACGAACAAAAGTGTTTCACATACCCTAAAATGGAAGGGGTATTACTTTTGAAATCCGCATCGACTTGCACATTGGAGTGTGCCTCCTAAATATTGTGAGGATGAAAATCTTGGAAAAGAATATAACAACAAATGAGTAAAAGTAGATTGGAATACAATACTTTCTTCTTATTTTTTTTTCCCTTAGATTTGAGATTGTTTCTACAAATGAACTTTATGTATACATTTGCATTTTGACTAACTATTGGTTGTAATGAGATTGTTTCTATAAATGAACCTTATGTTTACATTTGCATTTTTACTAACTATTGGTTTTAATGAGAGGATTGGTCCCTTTGATGGAGCTTTAATTTGATAGATATTTGATGTTCTCCACTTATGAATTCTTTCCTTCTTCAATGTATAGCCCTTTAGCTTTTTTTATGTAAGTTGAGTTTTGAGTGATAAGATTTGTATAGTTCTCATAGATATTATGTTTGCCTCTTTATTGTGACAACTCATGCTTAATCTTTCAATAAATCCATGATTGTGATATCTGTCTAATTATTCTCAATTGTAGTTCACTCTTTGTTCAACTTGGGAGATTTTAAGTTTTTATTATTTTAAATAATTTATTTTATTACATCGGGGGAGCGGAGAGGAGGGAGGAGGGGAGGGAAAAGACTACACTAGTGATGAGATTTGAATCCTCCATCTTTAACTGTGGAAGACATGAGATCAAGTGTGAGACGGTAAAATCTAATCTTTTATTTAAAGAATACACTTCAATTTGAGAATAAACCTAATAATTCTAGCTAATATAAATTGACTCAATTCTTTCAAATTGTGATTACTAAAAGGGTATTAAAATGACATAATTGAAGTTCTAAAACTATGTAAGAACTTATTAAGAAATTTTTAATTTGATCACAACGTCAATTATGCTCGATAGGAAATGTGTAATAAGTCCTCAAACTTCTATGAACCCCGAGAGCTAATTCTTTTCTTCCACATGAAGTCTTCATGATATAGTAACAAATTGCTGATGTTACTACTTGAAATATGGACAATGTTTTAATGACGATAGCGTTTGAGTCAGCTTGAACAGATTGATTATTCCATAAAGTATTTATTTCATACTTTGTACCAACATAGGCATCGAATCAACTTTATCTACGAAGCCTTTAGGCAGGAAAAAAAACACTCAATGCTTTTTTCATCTCTGGATTAATTTTATAGTTCTCTTCCTACTTAATTATATCGACCACTAGGTCGAATATACCAATTATACAATATAGTTACAAACACAAAGAGAGAAATGTAAACTTGGAATTGATCGTATAAAATGGAATTAATATGAGGACTAAAAACTGGAGATATAAATCCTAACTGAGGCAAGTGGAATTGGCACAATTGAAGCACAAATCATGTTTATTTCATTAATATAAGTATAATATATAGTTTATTCAGCCAAAAAAATGGTCAGTTTGACACTCCAAAAACTCATGTTCAGATCATTACAGTTTCCGATTTTCCAACTAAGTTCGAACTCAAAATATCAAACTCAACTCGAAAACTACTACAGTAATATTAAGTATTTATTTCTACTTTCTTACTCAGTTGCGATGGCAACGTCATATAAATTTTGTAGTTAAACAACAAAATTCAAACGAAGAGATTCAGAAGTTTCGGTTCTTCCCCTTTCACACCCTCTGCATATCCATATCCACTATCCAAACCCAGCGATATATCCGATAACTCAGTCTCCGAACCAAAAGACGACGACGTATTCCATCTCTTCTCCGAACTTATCCACTCCATTCCCTCGATTTGATCCGATCCGTCTATGAACATAGATTCGGATTTGTTAGAGAACTGGTTTGGCATATCCCACGCGCCGCCGAAACGGAAGGAATCATCGAACCAAGGCGGAGTTAAAATCCCGGCGAAAACCGGCCGTAGATTTCCACCAGCGAGAACCGTCTGCACCGCCTTTTGACACACGTGCCAGTTCCCCGTCGATAAAAGCCCTACCGCACCAGTCACCGGATTCATCGTCCTCCCACACGCTTCAAACAACAGCGATTTAAACAAATCTACAGTAACGAAAAGTTCATCAAATCAGCCAGGTATATAGAAATAATTTTCAATTATTCAGAAACCAGAACTCAAATTAAGTTGTAAGGCGTGTTTGGTAACAATACCAGGTCTTCGATTTTGGGGAACAGCGGCGATTAAGGACATGAGATCGCTACGGCCAAAAAACTTGGAGACGAAGAGAGTAGCGTTACCCTGTGCTTGAGGATCATCAATTCCATCCAAACAAGACCTTAAGGTACAATTATCACTGCATCTTTTTCGTAATACTCTGCAGCCATTGCAGCTCATTTTTCTTCTTCTTCTGGAGTTCACGTTTTTTCTGCTTTAGGGTGTATGGGTAGAGAGAAATGACGAGGAAGGCGATATAATATAGACAAGTGAAAGAGAAACAGAGTAACTAACTATGGTTAAGCAAGTGTGGTTATTGTCCTAGTAGAATACAGTTGGTGATAATTTAAAAGTAAAAATAAAGAAATAAATAATAATAAAAAAGGCTTAAGTCATCCGCGGTCCAGTTATCCGTATAATTTATTTAGACACCTCAACTAGGAATCTTACCTATTAGACATTTTAATATTAACGAATATTTATCTATTGAACATAAAATGACAACTAGCTTTACAAATATTGTGGGTGTGATTCACACACATTTTCTTTAAAAAACCACGAATAGAATTACGACACGTGGCACATGGGTCCAAATTTTTAATTTTGAAAAATGAAAAATATTTTCAGCCTTTATTAATCTAGAAAAATTAAATTGAAAAAAGAATAAAAAAGAAAATTTCTCCCCCCACTTAATCCATTGCCCTTTCTTCTTCATCTTCTTCCCTGTCACTCCACCATGATTCCTTAACGATAACAAAAAAGAAAATATCTCTCACCCAGCCCTAATCCACCCACCTAATCTTTTGTCTTTTTTTTCTTCCCCTGTCACTCATTGTATTCTATTCTTCTTGTGATTATTGAAATTTTTGTGAAAATAATCGATGTTGATAAATTATTTCAAAATCGACGATGAAGAGAAATCAAAAGAATATCAATTTTTTTATACCATTTTTAATAAGTTTAATGAATGGTGATGGTTGCTTGATCGGAGTTATTGAAAATAGAGATGCATGAATGTCGGCTAACTTTTAACTCCAATGGTCCGGTTATTTCCTTCTTCTTGCAAATTCAATTAGTTTGTTTATAACGAAAAATGAAAAAAAGAACAAAACAAAAGGCAGAGAATTTGAAGTCTTTAAAATGGTGGGCTGAAGAAGAAGAAGAAGAAGAGGACTTGTACATGGGTGTGGGGTTATTTTCTTTTATAAATAAAGAGATAAATGTTTAATTAAATGAGTTTTTAGTTATTTAATTAATACATACCAAGTGTCAAGAAAATAAGCACTAATTTATTTTTAAAAATTAAAAAAAAAGTTCATTCACGCGCTCAATAGCAGTAGCAGTGAGTTACACTTATTTCGCCACATCAGCATTTTGTGTTTAATAGGTATATGTTTTGAACAATTTAGGTGTTCAATAGGTAAGAGTCCTAGTTGAGATGTCTAAGTGAATTATGCGGACAACTTTAAGGAGTTATAGATGACTTAAGCCAAAAAAAAAAAGTTAAAAGAAATTCAATTTCTATTATAGTAAATATATATATAACATAGGAGTATAGACTGTATAGTTAATCATGTATTAATAATACTTCTTCCGTTTAAAAAATAATGAGCTGACTTGATACGGAATTTATGAAAAATAAAATAAATCAATCTTTTAGTCCTAAACTAAAGTTATGTCAAATGTATCAAAATATTTTTAATCTTATGATTCTATACATACTACATGAAAAATTGAAATTAAAATATAAAAATAATAATTTGTAAACAGACTAAAAAGAAAAATGTGTAATTCTTTTTAAAATGGAAGAAAGTATTATTTTCGAAATGATAGACTACTGAGCCCTGTCTTTCTCTGTAGGCTGTAGCAAAAAGCAGGTTTTAGGATTTTATGTTATGTAAAATACCACTAGATTTATTGCGTACTAGTTTCTTTTAATAAGTACAAATTGAATAATTCTTTGATTTATGTGTCATATATTTCCTTATAATTTATTTAAAATATTATATTGTATTAAATTTTTAAAAACTTAATAAGATAATTTATATCAATATAAATATTTATAACTTATTTTAAATCACAAATATAAAAAAAATCAACTCAAGCAGAGGGAGTGAAGGAAGATGGTAGTACCAAGTGTAATAGCTAAGGTACATGTAAGTAATTAGTATTTCCTCTATCCCAAAAATAGTTATTACATTTCATTTTTTGAAAATCAATTTAATTAATCCAAAATTAAAATCAATTAACTTTCGAAAAGCAAAAAAAAAAGCAATATGAAGCGTCATAGATTATTATTTTTCTTGCGTGTCATGTTCCAAAGTTTGTTTTCGAACGGCTGCGTGTCTCCGCAACTTAACATCACAATTTACAACCTGTACAATTGGATATTTGGATTATAAATTAATGGATTCTTTCTTTTTTTAATTTCATTTCTTACTTTATATCATGAGATGACATTTGAGTCATCCTATTGTCCTTTTGTTTGTACTTTACTACTGGTGCAACTTTCTATTCCACTCAATACATCAACTTGGATGTGTTTTCTAAGTTGGTAGGCTCATTCTGCTTCCTTCTTCCACCATTCCTTTTTTTTCTAATTGAGGAGACTTGGAATAGTTCTCTTTTATCATACTTCAACTATGAACAGGACAATCACAACTCATAATGCTTACTTCATTTTTGAGAAGAGATATTTGGTCCTCTTGATCAAGTTTATGGTGCAAATAGTAGTGTTACTATTTGCATGTTAGGTAGTAACACATTTATCTCGCTTATCCTTTCATATTAGTAATCATGGTATCTTTTTTAATATCTTGTCTTTGATTTTTGTTACTATCTATTGTATGTCTCTTGACTCTTGTACTTCGATTATCAGACTATTTGCTTTGTCATAGTATTTTGCCATGATTTCTTCACTTTCTTTCTTTTTCGGTTTGCTTTGATATTTTTTTTCCTTGAACAAGGGTCTATTGAAAACAATCTCCCTACCTTCTAACTTTTAAGGTAGGAGTAAGATTTACATATAGTATACACTCCCTAAATCCCACTTGTGAAATTACACCGGGTAGGAATATGATTTACATATGGTATGCCCTCTCTTAATGCCACTATGGTATGTTAGTAGTAGTAGGAGGAGGAGAAGGTTAGCTACAATATACAACAACAAAAAGATAGATGACTAACTCTAATTGCATAGAACAAAAATTAGAAATCTCCCATTTAAAGAGCAAAAATTAAAGGAAAAACTACACAAATTAGATTCATTATGTAAAATATTTATCCAAATTGGATCAACTCAAACTATTTATCCTGATTGGACTCACGATTCAAACTATTTCCCCAACTACCCCCTTGTTTTATTCACTAAACCACTGTTTTGTCATCCTTAATACCATCAGAGTATATATACACTCTAGATGGTATCAAGCAGTCATTGAGCAGTCTTTTCACTTAAACACTGCATATTCCTTCTTGATACCATCAGAATATATATATACTCTAATGGTATCAAGGATTAACTGAGTAGTGTTTTCATTGAAGTATTGCTTCTTTCTCTTTGATACCATCAGAGTATGTATTACATATATATATATATATGCGCATTAGTAGTTAAAGACAGGGGTATGAAAGTAACGGAATATCCGCTTGTAAATAGCTTCCCTTTGGAATACAAGTGTTATTTTCTCAAAATTAAAGATCAACTCATTTGATGAAAAAACCCGAGCATTTTCCTTTGACAGATCAATTCTTCAGTGATTTGTTGGGTTGGGTTGGGTTAACATTGGGCTCAGGTCGAGTACTTTCCGTTGATAAATCAATTGATGACTGTGTTTGGTGAAATAATAGACGGACCGACTGTTTACAATTTGAACAGGCCTTACCCAAAATATTAAGCCCAATTATAACCAAATGATGTAGAAGTGACAGCTTTGGACGGATGGATCTCCTAAGCCCAATAACTTATGATCTCAAAATTGAAACCATCTTGGGATTAATTGCAATTTGCACTCATGGTTAGTAATCACTTATCACCTTGTCATTTAAGTTATATTCAATGTTCTCAAATTATTTACTACTTCTTCCGTCTCATATTAGTACTTTTCAAGAGTCAATTTAACTAAGTTTTTGGTACTAAACTGAATTAAATTAGTCTAATATTTTATAATTACAGTTTATATATTCAAAAACTATACAAAAAAGTATTATAAATTGCAATTCTTCTTTTACCAATATGTTGAAATATACATTTTGAAATATTAATAAAAAAACATGTAATTTGATGCTTAAAAGGTAAAATATGACAAGTATTTTAGGACAAAAACAGTTGGTAAAAATTAACGAACTTCAACCAAAAGTATGTTTTCGCATCTCCAATAGAGTAGCTATTAATTATTAGCACACACTACATAAGGGATCTTATTATAAAATTTAAAAATTAGAAAAAATTAAAAATTAAAACGCAATAGCAACGATGTGGTTTAGTTCATTATAAGAAGGAACTAGTCATTGAGAGAATTTTTTTTAAATCATTAAAGGTTTTTGAGAAAAGCTTAAAGATGGTAAAATGAGTTAGTCAGATTTATTATTATTTTGTCAAATTAGTACGCTTAGTGTTATTGGAACTTATATTTTAAATTTGAGTTTGTTTAAAATAGATTTGAATTTTGAATTGAGTATTAATTATTGCTAGACGAAATTGAAACTCAGACTAATTTAAATTTGCGCTGCATAAGGCTATATGTGAAAGAAAACGCTCTCTACTAAGAATTTTTTCATATCAAAAACTCGAACACGAGTCATCACATCTCAGCCGGCCATCTTGTAGGTTCTCTAAGCGCGTATCACTATTTTAGTGATGTCTGTGCCGACCTAACCATCTCCAAATGGCAATAGAATTTTGTCAAATGAACCCAAAAAGTTATGTTCCTTTTCCAGTCTTTAGTGGCCACCCTTCCAACATCTTCACTCTTTTAGACACTACTAGATTCTTCCCTTCTTATGATAATCTTAAATGATGGTAGCCACGAATCTGTTAAAGGTAGGGCCTCTTATATAGACATGTTTGTTTTTTAGTTCACTAGCTCTGTATAAAATTATTCCTTCTGGTTGTTCATGACTTTCTCCTTTAAAAATTCACAAACATTCCCAAACTTAAAGATGTTATAGGCATAGCATAAAAAAGAAAGAAATTAAACTCACTGCACCTATGAAA